CAAATAAAGTTTAGGTATTATGTATGTCAATCGTTTTATTCAGTAAACGTACTAAGTGTTATTGTTTTTCCAACATATAACATATTTTTGTATTCACATACAGGCCTGTATGGAAGAGGTGGGGGAGGGGGGGACAACCCATCAAAAAAGGCTTTAAAACCAAGCGCTTTGCTTCGGGGTGAATTCAGCTTATCAGTTTTGTCCAATGCTAACAAATATTTTCATTTTACAATCGGACATAAGTGAAGTCATCTTTTGCTACTGTATTGTTATTAAATAGAAGAAAAAGCACCAAGAGTGGCCCATATTCAAATTAATTTGAATACTATGTTGGCTATTGTTGTTATCCATGAATTTTTAAATGTACTTTTTTTTTTTTAACAAGAGAGGCTAGAAAAATCATAAAACTCTACATCACAGGTGTGAAACTCAGTTGCTGGAGGTTTAGTTTCAACCCTGCACTTACCTGTAGGCTTCAAACAAGCCTAAAGGACTCAAATAGTTTGATCAGGTAATTTAATTAGGGTTAAAGCTGAACTGTGCAGAGCTGCGGCCCTCCAGGAACTGGATTTGACACTGTGCACTACATTAGTATTATTACTATTATTGTGTTTTTATTTTATTTTTTTTTATTCAAATGGGCAAATTCCAACTGAGAAAAGTTGAATGTGCTGGCCATTTTGTTATTTGTCTAATACATTACAATAGGCCACAGTTTTTAATTTAAAACTCTAACAAATTATCTTTTCTAATGATATATGATGTAATACGTTTGCATTTTAAAAATAAGTATTTATTCATGTTTCTTTATTCTAAGTCTTTAGGATATTTTTGGTACATCAAAAAGTGTGGTTATGATGACCATCTGACAAGCTAATCCAGCTATAATGGTGCTTAAAAATGTTACTAAAATGTAGTATTTCAGTCTCGTGATTAAATAGAAAATGAGGCGTATAACTGCAAAAAGGTGCACTTTTGAAAAAAGAACCACCTCTTTCACCAGGTTGGCTACAGGCTTGACATAGAAAATATGATAAAAGTCACCAAAGTGTTATCCTATTCTAAAACCCGTCCAAATTTTAATTTTGTCATTAATTTCTAACCTTCATGTCATTCTAAACCAGAGATCTTAAAATATCTTAATTTGTGGTCTGAAATGGATAAAGGTCTCTGGGATTTTGAACGACATGAGGGTGAGAAAGTAATGAGAATTTCATTTATGAGTGAACTAAGCCAAAAAATAAAAATGTTATATCTTTTATATGTTTCAAATTTAAAAAAAGCCCATATGGTTGAAAGTCCAGGACTAAGCACACAGTATAACCACATGGAGGCATCTTCTGCTAGAGTACCTGAGTGTTGGGGTCATATTTGGCTGTTGTCCTCAGGGCTCTTGTGTTACTGCCATGGCTCAGCTCTGTCAATGAAAAGCATCCAAATGTCTAAACAGACACAGAGATGCTGTTACTCTCCTGCAAGCGGCTCATGTGGTTTGCAATGATTAAACATCGGAAAACACACTGCTTTGCAGTCACACACAGAAACACATTAACACCTTGGAACGTTCTGTTCATACCCTGCTTGTTTCAAACTGTTCTAGCTGAACATTAGTGAATATTTCTATGCAAGATAGTCATGGCCACTGTAAAATGCATTAAACTGAAAAACACTCAGCATTAAAATATGACCATCCATAAAAGCAAATACTGATTTCATGATAGTCTTTAAAAGAAACAAATAAAATCCTGCATTAGGCTCTGGTAATGAGTTTCAAAGTAATGACTATCTGACTATCTATTTACAATGAATGCAATTAAGTTATAGTGCACATGTAGTCAGATTTCAGACTAATGTCCAATAAATATTTTATGGTGGATATGATTTTATATTTGCTGCATGTCATAAAAGAAAGCGGTCATTTACCATCATTCGCTCGATGTCCTTCACAAACTTCAAGTGCCTCTGAGATCCTGTGTTTAACACAGTGGCTCCAAACATCTAAGAAGGTTAGAAACAAAAATAAATAATAAATTAAGGTAAAATTAAAGCCATTTTTTTTACAAAAAGGCAACAAACCAGTTTAACTTAAGCCATTCCAGTATTGGTTCATTTACCATCTATAATATACAAGCTATTATGTGGAGGGCAGAGGGCTAATAACAGATTTTGTGAGTCTCTGGAATGTTCAGTGAAGTGGTCTCACCCCTTTGTTAAGAAAGTACTTGGCACATAAAGACCAGTCATACATTCCCAGGCAGTCGTTGAGGACGATCATCTTCCAGGGGTTCTGCATTAGCTCTTCTCGTGTTATAAAGTCATACTTAAACAACTGTTTACAGCGGAGGAAGGTGAGCTCTCGCTTCTGCTCCACTGGGACGTCCTCACCAGGCTGCCGGGCAAAAAGTGGGTCCCTCTCCAGAGTCCTGAACACGTGCTGCTGCTCAGAGAGAGAAACAGAAAGACAGGTGAGCAGAAAAACAATCTCTAACGATGACTGTGGACTAGTGACGAAAGAAATTATACTTTCCTACTGAACCAATTTCTTCACAATAAAATGTGCTCAAAATATCACAGATTATTCTATCTCTTGGTTAAAATAGTGTAAATGCAATAAAAACAATTTGATGCAATGTTGTTACAGAAATGTAATCCCTTCTGACTAATAACAAAGTATGAGTATGTGTAAAACTTTTTCTTGCTTGTTTAGTCTTATTATACACAATTAATTTAATATGTATATTTAAATACAGTAATATGAGTATATATGTATATGTATATACGTATGTGTGTGTGTGTGTGTGTGTGTGTAAATCCAATAAAGTTTATTTAAAAAAATGCAACAATAAACAACGTTTGTTTTTGTTTTTTTTTAATGTTGGATTGTATTATAACGTTTTATTTACAATTTATATATACACACACAAGCATATGCAGTTTATTATAAACACTAGCAGACAAAAGTCTTATCGCCCCATCCAAGTTGATTCTAGTTGTTCATTTGGTATCAGAATTGTTTTGTATAAAAGGCAAAAGCCTCTAGATTATGCTTATTTTACCAAATAAATATATAAATAATAGGATGTAACAATTGTAAATATCGTCATACTGCAATAGTAATTTTTTTTTTTAATATTACCGTAGGCACATGACTCAATAAAACTATATTTCTGAGAAAAGTTTGCTTAGGCGAATGAAGTGAACGGGAGGTAGCGGGAACTACAATTCCCATCAGCCTAGGCGTGGCCATCATCCTTTGCGGTCTGTTGTCACTACAGATCCAGTAATGCGAAAATGGAGTGTGTTGCTTGTAGCGGGGAAGAAAAAGAGCTGGAAATGATCGAACCTAAAGCGGGTTTTAAATCGGATGTGTGGAAGCATTTCGGTCTCTTTCTAAAAAGATACGGAAAAGGAGAAAGGTGACAGACAAAGACAAAAACAGTATGCAGGCACTGCCAGACTGTGGCAAAATATAAGTTGGGGAATACGACTAAAAACAGTCATGGGGACTGCAGAACACAGCACACTTGTTAGATTGATGCAGACATTGACTTGTACCGCAAAGAGACCTCTATCTAATTCATGGCTTGTCCTCTCAAGTGGTGGAAAGACAATGCACAACATTACCCACTGCTGTCAACCTTGGCTAAATCATATCTCTCTGTCCCAGAAACCTCAGTCCCAAATGAGAGGGTTTTTTCTGTTGCAGGGAACATGCCCAGAGATCCCAGCTTTTACCAGATTATATTTATATGATAATTTTCCTTAAAAAACCCATCTCTATCTAAGTGAGTGAGTGAGTGATTAAATGTTGAATGTGATGAGTTTTCAACAATACTAAATTGAAACTTTATTTTTTTATATGGCTTAATTTAAAATTGATAAATTGAAGTTCCTGTTTCGAAACTTACAGATAGATGGCTAATTTGTATGTCATTGATATGTTCAGTGCTAAGGTAAATAAACACTTTTGCCACTTTTTTCGAGTCTTTTCATAAGTTTTGTTTTTTCTGTAAATTATTCAATAAATACCATACCGTGCCATTTATACCGAGGTATTATTGTACCGTGAAATTCTGATACCGTTACATCCCTAATAAATATATATGATCTCTCCTGTGGTTTGTAATGTGATGGACAGCACAAATGTCTTGATACCTCAGGCTGTTGATGTGTCCATCCACTCTGCAGATCTCTTGCGCAACCCTATACTGAATATAAACCCAAACCATGACTTTTCCTTCACCAACATGACTGATTTCTGTGAGAATCTTGGGTCCATGTGGGTTTCAGTAGGTCTTCTGCAGTATTTGTGATGATTGGGATACAGTTCAACAGATGATTCACATAAGAAATCTACCTTCTGCCACTTTTACAAATGGTTAATTAATAGTCAAGTTATTATTTGTTGCTCTTACAACTGGGAACAACAAGACTTTTGTCAGGTAGTGTATACACTATAACAACATGGAAATAACTGTACAATAATAGCAACACTGGTCATTGATTCTGTATTTTTCCTGAACATATATACAGTATACACATAAACAAATGATGAGAAAAACAGCATTCTTACCTTGAATGCAATGAGTTCATCCCCCTCCAGAAAGCGCATCATGTCCTTCCAGCTGAAGGATGCTTTCTTCCTGTAGATGTCCAGAGGACCATTGGGAAAATCTGGGATGCCTTCATCCATTTTGTCTCCCAATACATATTTAGCATCTGTGATAGCTGGATCACTCATGTTCTTAACCTAAGGCACTTAAAGCAAAAAAAAAAAAAAAAAAACTGGCAAGTGTTCACAATTTTCGGAAAAAATATTCATGATTTTCAGTAGAAAACAAAATATTTGTATTTGATATTGCAGTGTGTTTTGGTATTGCCTGCTATTCATCCATAAACATTAATGACGTTCAAGGTTTTGTAGACAAATCATAAAAATCAATATGTCAGCATTTTCTATTGCTACCTTTACTGAACAACTACATCTGCATATCATTTCAATCCCCGTTGTTTGCCAAAGACATAATTGTTTGCCATTTGATAACATTTAACAAACACTAGTTATCAATTGCAGGTTTGGAATAAGTGAGTTTTCAGCTATTAGTATTCAATCTGTAGTCACATTTTCAAAACTCTACACAATTAGCACAACATCAGTCTGTTGTGACCCTATTATTAACACAATATATGTTATTTCCACACAATATTCAGTCAATTAACACATTTCTAAAATGCTTTATTTTTATTTTTTTTACACAACCTTACACCATACCAAAATCATAGAGGTTTCTTGTCTGTTTTTCAAAGACTTAAACACAGGGTGACAGAAAAGAAAGCCTACTGTTCCAAACGCTAAACATAGAATGAAGCAACAGCTTTGTGCTGTTTTTACACTGTTTTTGCAGTGGTATATGGTTTTATTTAATTTTTTTATGAGCTAAATATATTGTGTAGTCTGAATTATATTTGAGAATTTTTGTCTTGTTTCTAGTCTAAAAATCTAAATTTCAAACCAAAACAAGATTATTTTACTTGTTTCAAGTTTAACTTAATTTTGATCTTTTACATCTGAAAGTAAAAACTGAATTTTGTTATTTGGCCTAAACTTGTCTAATGACTAGAAAGTGAGAAAAGATTTTTTTGATTATTTAATTTCTGTACCTCAATACTGTAAGACTCTCCAGAAAAGAAAAAAACAACAACATTAAATAGTACTATTTAAACCATCTGGTAAAGTAAACCAAATAAAATTATTGGATTATTCCAATATCATGCAGCCCTACTATATCTCTATTAAATACCACCTTAAACCACCCAAAACAACCCATGAAGTAACAAAAACAGAAAATTGGTTTCCCTGAGATGAGCCAATAATAATAATAATAATAACAATAATTATTATTATTATTATTATTACTAGTAATAATAATATTATTATAAAAAAGATTGAAGAACCATTTTTACGAGTTATAACCTTTATGACATAATATATAGGTAATAGTTCATACTTACACTACCTGTCAAACGTTTCGGGTCAGTCTGATTTTCAAATGTTTTAAAATCAGCTTCTCCTGCTCACCAAGGCTGCATTTATTTAATAAAAATACAGTACACAATGTAAAATTGTGAAATGTTATTGCACTAAAACAACTGTTCAAAAGTAGTTTGTCATTAAATTTAATAATTAAGTTCAGTGATTTTAATGATGAAATGTATGCTTCATTACTCCAGTCTCACACAATCCTTTAGAAATCACTCTAATATTAATTATTATTGTTATTATTATCATTATTATTGTTATCATTATTTTAATAAGGGTGATAGCAATAAAAGCAATAATAACTGGAGTAATAATTTCATTTTAAACTTTATGCCATGACCCTAAACTTTTGACCAGCAGTACAGACAATCACCTTTTTTAGAATTTTTCAGAAATCAATGTTTTTTTTTTAAATTGTACATTTCAATGAACAGTTAAAAAATTTAAAATTACAAAAAGCTCTAAGTTTAGTAATTTCATTTTTTGTAATTGTACTTTTTAATAAAAATAATAAATTATCCTTTTTTTTTAAATAATCACTGTAATAATTCATCTTTATTTATTGATATTTATCCATCTTACAAGTCTTAAGTGTTTGTATGTAAACACTGACAGCAGTTCTGAGATTTTCCTTTCATATTTATAAAGTACAGATGACTTCACTATGCTACACAAACTATCTAAAAGAAATTCACACATTTGCACACACATCATGCACCAGAATGTATAGATTGTTAGACTGAATAATTAGTATTATTATTTTAGATTTTAATATAATATTCAAATATTTAATGCTCTAACTGAAAATGGCAAATAGTGCAGTTTTCATAGTGTAATTAGGATTTCTCCATTATTGGATGCCTTTAAATCTAACTTTTTACTCCCTTGCCTTTGAGTGATGCATGCATGTTATTTCTTATCTGTATTTTAGTATTATAGATATTATATATTATTATTTTCTTATATTTTAGTTTTGTAGTTTTTTTATATATATTTTTATTTATATATAATTTTATTGTAAAGCACTTTGAATCAACTATGGTTGTGTAAAACTATGTACTATAAATAAAGTTTGTTTTACCTTGCCTAATTAATTGGCAGTATTTTGTCTGTCTGCTATAACTGACTGTGTTTAAGCTGGACAAAAAAAAATCTAGACGACCGAGCGAGTGGATTTTGAATTAGGTTCACTGTGTTTTGATAAAGTTAGCAATGTAGAAAAAAGTATCCAGCATTTTGAAATGTAGGGTTTGGATTTGTTTAACAAAATGTGGTTTTGGCTAGAAAATGTACTTAATTGTACATTTACTTAATTGTGTGATGCACTGTAGTTGTGTTGCTGTGTTAGTTGTAATCTACAGTATCTATCAGGCCAGCTCAATACAAAGTTCAATTTAACTCACTGCAAACAACTCGAACACAAAACCAAGTTTGATTTGTATTGGGCAACATGGCAAATATTTTTGTTGTTGTTGTTATTTTCTATTTAATAGTTATATACAAAACCTATCTAAAAGTTAAATACAAAACAATCTACTATAGGTATGGCACAAATGTGAAATATAACATTAAAGCAAACATAAGCACCCCTGAACATTCACCATTCTAGCATGCTAGCTAACGTCAATGTCAATTCACCCTTTAATAAGCAGTTAGGAAAACATGCATTATTATTAAATACGCATACGGAATTGCCGTCCTATCATTTGGTTTGAACAGTGTTGAAACAACGTTTAGCTCTTACCTTGTCACGGGTAACCTACAGAGCTAGTGTACTCAGCACTGCCACTTTTTAGAAGGAAGAGATCATGTGACCGTGTCCGACAAATCAGAGAAGCGCTAATGCTTAAAGGCGCAGTGCAATAAAGCAAACACCTGCGCTTCTGTGAAAGCCAAGAAAACGGGATCGTAAAGGTGCAACTTGAGGAATGTGTTGTTACTTTAGGATTTTAGTTCAAATAAACAAGATCTATTTTTTTGGAGAGTATTATTTTTATAGCACACGGTGATATTTTACTTGATTTTTTTTTTTAAATTCTAGTAAGCTAGCTATTCAGCTTAAAATGTTTTTTTTTTTAATTAAATAGGCCTACTGCTTTAATTCTAGACGAAATAAAACAAATAAGACTTTCTCCAGAAAAAAGATTATCAGGCATACTTTGAAAATGTCCTTGCTCTGTTCAACATCATTTGGAAAATATTTGAAAAAGAAAAACAAATTCACAGTATACATACATACAGATAAAGTCAAAATTATTCTGCGACGATGAGGAGGAAGACAACGCAGTAACACACAATACACACACCACTCTTCTAAACTCATTCAACTGACAGAAATCTCAGAACATTCTCAGATTAATGCAGGCCTGTAGTCAGGAAGGCTTCGAAAGACCGACCCCTCCCTGACAAAGGTCGAGAATTTGTCCCATACATGAGCTCATTTGTCCTATTTTGACTGCAATAGCATAACCCATCGAAATAAGACCAAGCGGAAGCCTCTGTTGGCTGTCGCTTTAGCGGGACTTTAGCTAATCAGTTTTGACTAAAGCTAATAAATATTTTAACTTTATAATGTGACGTTTGGACCTTATTTTCGAAACAAAAAAAATGCACCAGAACTTAAGCGGCCTATATTAAATGAGTTCAAATATGTTGGCTGATATACATGAAGTTTCAAACATA